ACACCCTGTATCATGGTCAACAATAGGACATAGTACATTTTAAAATTAGCCTCTTTGCATAATACCTGCTTGAGTAGAACTCTAGTAGAATTGAATAGTCTTTTACTGTGGTGGTTTAAACATAAAATATATCTCCTTTTCTATTTTCCAGTCCCAAGAGAGCGATTGCTCCGGCGATACGACTGACTCCATAAACAACCCAGTGTTCTGCAACATCATGGAGCTCCTCAAACTCTGCCACTCCTTCTGCAGTATGGGAGACTTCGCGTCCGATAAAGAGGCGGAGGATTATTATATTAGAGGGTTTTCAGATAGGTAATGTGATGTTTTAATTTTTGTCTACATAACTTTGCTGTTTGGTAACACTAGGCTTCCACAGACCAAACGCGGGGCAGTAGCAGCGCAGTTTGAATGCGGGCCCGCGCAAGTTGTAATACAAGAAACTCTTTGAAGTGTGTCATACCAAATTTGAACGCGGGCCCGCGCTCCAACCGCGCCGCACTGCAACTGCCGAACGACAAACGAGGCGGCGCGGGTGCGGGACAGAAGCGGCGCGAACGCGGGCCCGCGCTGTTGTATTACTATGGCGGCCATATTAGCATGACACACCGGACGCAGGGCGGTAGCAGCGCGTTGAAAGCTGTTTTCGAATATTTAAGGCTTCCACAGACCAAACGCGGGTCAGAAGCAGTGCCAGGTCAGTTGCAGCGCGGCTGAGGCACACTGAAAGCAGCGCAGTTTCAAAGCAGTTGCAACGCTGGCGGTTGTCAAAAATTTAAATATAGATGACCCACGCTGAACTGTCCCACCAAACTCAATGACAGAGGGGCGCTACCATCGTTCAACTATATGGTTTCCAACATGGCAAAAATCGGAACCAGCGATCCGGTATAGACGGTGGCGCCCCGCTGTCAATGTCATGCACAGGACAGTTCAGTATTTTGGAACTATATTCGTAAACCGCTTTCAACTTGGTAAAAAAGTTGACAACACAACCTTATTCCAAATGGAACAATGACGAACTTATTGGCTAATTTGGGTGTCACGAACTATTTGATGTAGCAAATATTTTGATCAGTAAGATTTTTTGGAAGAAAAATAGTTTGAAGTACTTAAAGATATTTGTAATTACGCAGGATTTGTGCGATGTTTGTGTGCGAATAGGAACTCAAACCTTATAATGTCTCTTCAGTAGTTTCAGACATAATTCCTTACAATTTTGACTTCGTCACAAGTCATACTAAATTCCTAATTATACTTTTGTTTCAGGTTCAACAAACTAGTGAAACAACTGATGCAGTTGCTAGTTTCACTGCGCGACCGGCCGTGCGGGGTGTTTCTAGCTCGGCTGCTGATGAGATTGGACTATAACCGTTGGCTCAGCGGAGAAGCGCAGCTCACTCAGTCCGTTACTAATATGTTGCGGTATTAAACTCTGTGTGATATGAGGATTTAGAGCTTAGAAATGGAATTACTGTCGGCTGGTCGACATTCGAGATTCTTGTGTGATCGAAGAAAGAAGAAAAAAACGTTTATTTGTATTCATACGTAACAATAAAATGGATAGTTACTAACATGAAAAGATAGGTCTTTATGCTAATGGCCTAGTAAATAACAAGTTTTGTCTTTTGTCTATTGTCTGTAAAATCCGATAAGTTATTTATTTGCTGATTAAATTTTAAAAATGTTATCTTGTTATACAGTGCCATATAGCCTAATAAAAATGAAATTCACAAGTTAATAGAAGTAATATTTCTATACCAATAATATTCTATAACAAATGTGATACTTGTTTACTCAATAAAGTTGGTAAATTATAATTTGGCGTTTTTACTAAATCTCTGTGGTTTGGAATACGGTTCTCGTTTCTTAATATTCTTTCTCGAAAGTTATTCCTTTATCTCATAGAGATTCTCTAAGCTTTATTGGCTTTATCTACCAAATATATTTTTTAAAAGTCACTTTCGAAGTTCTCTAATATAAACTAAGCAGGATATGAAAATATCAAAAATCCTGAGTCAATTCGGATGGATGGAAACCCTATTCGTATAAGGTTGCTGTTATGGTCATGGTCATTGCTCAATTTTTGCGGTCCTCATACGGTATTATGCGCCGATATCTTGTCTTCATAAAAAAATATACGATGTCAGAGTCAGCCGATCTGTCAATGTCAAAATTGTTTTGAGGTTATGTCATGTGTTGTTGACTTGTTCGTCGAAAAGAGTGGTGTTTTTATTTAAAAATCAAAAGAATTATTTGTTTTAATCATGGAAGACGTTGACGACAACGATTTCATCGCATCAGAGCATGATCAGTTAGTGAATGCAGTGTCTAAATTAGATAAAACCCAGCACATTAAAGAGCCTACTAGAAATGAGCCTACCAACCAAAATTCGGAGTTCAACCTAATAAAAAGGTCCAATAAACTCGATATTAACAATGTGGTGAAGGTATTGGAGGACACCGCTCACCACGTAAAGATTAGTAAGAAGTTGAAAAAGAGCCAACGTGTTTTGCCGAAGCCGTTAGAGAAACCTCAGGCTGAAAGAATTAAAAGGGCCACAGGGTATGAAGAGGCGAAGAAAAAAGTAGGGCGCTGGGACGCTGTCGTTGCTAGAAGCCGAACTGTTGATTTTGTGTCTTTCCCTTTGAAGAATGTGCCTACAAAGCTTCAGCCTGCTGCTGAATTTTTGTCCAAGTTTGAGTTGAAGTCTTCTTTAGAGAAAGAGTTGGAGGAAGTGGACCCTCCTGCGATGGTAGAGGAAGAGGAGGATGAGGAGCAAACATATCCCATGTCATATGAGGAAATGGTTGAACATCGTCAGCACTTGGCCAGGTTGCGGGCTCAGGAATCGTACAAAGCTGCTAAAGCTAAAAGACAAAGCAAAATCAAGAGCAAGAAGTATCATCGGTGAGTGCTATGTTTATCATTGCTGTAATATTAATTTAAATTCAAACTTTATCATGAACTAATCTTAAACTATATTATTCCAGGATCCTCAAAAAAGAAAGGCTTAAACAGCAACTGAAAGAATTTGAAGAGTTACAAAAGAAAAATCCAGAGGAAGCATTAGAAAAACTTGAAACACTGGAAAAAGCCAGAGCTCTGGAGCGGCATACTTTGAGGCACAAAAACACTGGGAAATGGGCTAAAAATAAATTGATTCAAGCCAAATATGATAAAGAGGTATGTATATTGCTTTTATACTTACTAAGAACTTGTTTCATTTTGGCTTCACGAAATTAATTGGGTACTCAATATTTTATTTGCTTTTCTATTTACAGGTGAGGCAGCAACTAGCAGAGCAATTGGCAGTTAGCAGAAGTCTTACCCACAAGACTCAAGATACAGAAAGCACAGATGATGAGCAAGAAAGTAATGAAATGATCCCAGACTTAACATTGTCTCAAGACCCCATGAATCCTTGGATGATGAGCAGACCTGGGAAATCTAATGTTGCAGCTGAATTTGATTTCGGGTACAAAAAATATTTAAAGGACAAAATGTTTAAAAGGAAGGAGGATTCTGATAGTGACTCTGATGATGAGCCAGTACAAAATAATGAGAAAGATAATGAGGATATGAAGACTTTAAAAGAGAGTGTTAATAGCATACCTCAAGAAGAGACACCAGTCGAAGAATATGTAATAGACACTGCAGCTATCAAAAGAACTATAGCTGAACAGAATAAGTCAAGAAAGAAGAAATCAATGAAAACACAGAAAGTGCAGAAAGTCACAGCTACTTCAAATTGGGTTGTTGAACCTATCAATGAAGAGGAAGAACCAGCTGTTGGTGAAAAGGTTTCCACTGCTTTTGAGAGTTATGAGAGCAAAATTGATAGTAAAATTACAAAGAAGTTGAATGCTCTCAGAAAAAACATTGAAAAATTGGACAAAAGAGGAAAAGCTTCAAAAGACAAAAAGAGGAAAGTTGATGATGAAGAACATGATAATCTTGAATATTTGAAATTAAAAAATAAAAAGGTAAAGGCAGTGATTGATGAAGAATTGATTGAAACAGGCAAAAATGTTGATTCAGAAACCAATGAAAAATCACCTGCTGAAATCCTGAAGACAGCTGAACAAAGTGGACAGCCAAATGCTGATGTCAGTAATATAGATCCAAGTAAATTCATAGAGGTAAAGCCCAAATACTTGAACACTGCTATCCCTGGAGCTGCAAATGATGATGAGTTGGATGATGATGAACAAGTTGTGCCAAAGGTTAATATTGAAGAAGTGTTTGAGGAAGATGATGTTGTGGCCAGCTTTAGACAAGAAAAAGAGGATGAGATCAACAAAAACAAACCACAAGACATTGATTTGAGTCTACCTGGATGGGGCAGTTGGGGTGGCAAAGGTGTTAAGGCTCCAAAACGGAAAAAGAACAGGTTCATACTGAAAGCTCCACCTGTTATGCTAAGGCGTGATGAGAACAAAGGAGATATTATAATCAAAGAATACAAGGATCCAAAGCTTGCCTCACATAAAGTTACAAATATACCTTTCCCATTTACAAGTATCAAGGAATATGAAGCTTCTATCAGAGCTCCATTAGGCAATACATTTATACCTGAAACTGCCCATAAAAAACTTATCAAACCAAGTGTGATCACCAAGGCTGGTACTGTCATTGACCCAATGGATGAAGATGAACTACTAGTGAAGAAAAATAAGAGGTTTGGAAATGCAAATGTCATAAACCTTTTAGCTAAGAAATAAATATAAAAAATGTATATTGTTATCAGAGCTCCATTAGGCAATACATTTATACCTGAAACTGCCCATAAAAAACTTAAACGTTTTATTATTTTTTAAAACAAAACCTAACACTGCCTATCTTAATCTGGCTACAGGACTGGATTGGTAATTAAAATCAGAACTTTGAATAAAATGCTAGTCTCTGATATAAGATATTAATTTAATAGTTAAGACTATGTGACAGTTTCAAATGCTGCTTCAACTAACATAAAAAGGTATAAGAGTAAACAAACTAGTTTAACAAACAACATTTTATTCAACCATCATCATTCTCATCGTCAATATCGTCATCATCAATAGCCTCGTCTTCAATTCCATTGGTTTCCATTGCTGTTTTACTAGGCAACTCTGGGTGTTGCAGCATATAAGTCTTTATAAGTAGGCACTTTGTTAGATCGCACGTGCAAGGCAGTGGGTGCTCAATAACTTCTGCATCTAGCAGTGAGAGCTGCAGGTTATATCTGGAAATAGTTTAATAATTAATTAGAATGTAGAGTTCAAAAAGTATTATGTCAACGCGAAATTGTGAACTTCGTCAGTTTATAATATAACGCGTGAGATTGTAAACTAACAGTGGGTTAGGTTAGGTTAGATTGTAATTTAACTACGTCAGATTATAGGAATTCACAATATTATGGTGACATATACAATATTCATTAGTCAAAAGATGTAGTGTGGGCACTTGGGCAGGTCCTCTACTAGATGGACCGACGATTTGGTGAAGATCGCGGGCAGTACCTGAATGCGGGCAGCGCAGGACCGGTTATTATGGAAATCTTGGAGGGTAGGCTTTGTCCAGTAGTGGACGTCATTTGGCTGAAACGAACAATATTAATGTTTTAATCCAATACCTTCTAGTGGTTACAGCATCTCTAGTCATCTTAAGTTCAAATGCAATTGGGTCTCCAGTTTCTACCTCCTGTTCTTCAGGTAAAATAATAACTGTTTGCTTCCAATGGGTTGGTGGACTGAGTGGTCCTGTGTCTAATCTCACTGGATTATAATTTTCACTATCATTTTCTAAATCAGGGAAAACACATTCAAACCATATACACATGCCTTGGTAACTTCCATCTTTGTTGGCACCTGTAATAGATAAACATTACATATTTGAAAGATGAGCAACCTAATTTGCTAATTCACAATCATATTATTCTGAAAATATACTTGATACCATACCTACAACATGTTGAATACTATAAGAATCTAAATTAGAAACAGTATCTTCTTTCAAATTGACCCAGCCTAGAGCCACTTCATCGCAGCCCATCAAATCTTCAGCTTGCACATTCATGATTTCTGGCTTATTATACTTGCAGATCCTCAATTGTTTCGCAAAAGTGACCATAGACACTCCATGAAAGTTATCCCACTTTCTGTATAATGATGGCACACTGGAAACCAAAATATTTTGAATCAAGATTAGCAACTGCAGTAATAATTTTTAATAAAAGATAAGCTACTTTCAAGAGAAAATACAGTAATCTCAAGTGATTTAACTAGTTTCGAAACTATTTTGATATAAAATATTGTTATATTTATTTGATCACCAACAAGGTTACATTCTGGAATTCACAAGAAAAACTTATGAAAAATGTTACTGAGAAAATAGGCATTTATCCACCCTTACCTACAAGGGGAAACATAGATTGTGGCACTTTCAGGGAACATCTCTCCTCCATCTTTCAAGAACTTATCACGGGCCAGGAGTACAGAATCCAGCATGCCTTCGTGCAGCAGGTAAAAGCCCATCCATTCTGACACTATGGCATCCACTTTGGTGTTGCCAGGCAATTCTAAGTCTTCTACTTTACAGTGAATTACCTGGTGAAGCAATATGTTATTGTGACTGCATTATTTTACATCACTTACCAGATTTAAATGATAGGGTTTTGAATAAAGTTATGTCCTTGATTTATGTATATGGAATGAAATTTATTTGCTACATGTTATTTATCTGATAAGTAATGTGATTGTAACATCAGAAACAACAAAACCTGTCTGGTAGTTTACTATATAAAAACAATGATACCTACATAATTTTAAATATTGAGTTACATTTACCTCAATGACATCTTCGAATTTATTTTCCTTAACAATCTCCATAGCAAGTTCTGCAGTTTTACTTGCTTCAATTGCATAAACTTTTTTGGCTCCGGCTTGCGCACAAAATATTGATAGGATTCCTGTTCCACAACCAACATCCATTACAACTTTATCTTTAAAGAATCTCTTGTTGTTCATAATGGCTTTCCTATATGCCGAGGTTCTAGGCTCATCTTCAAGCATAAGTTTATGTATCTGTAATTTTATTTTAAATAACATAATCATCAAACAGGTGAAAACTGACTTATCTTTTCATATTGAGAGGAACAAGTTGGAAGTCGGGTTCATTCAACCAGGAATAAAACAGGGTAAGGAGAAAGTTTCAGATGTTTTACAATTAATGAAAAAATACTAATAAAAAGAAACTAGAAAGTTTCAGAAGTGAAAGTGAGGTTATGTTGTTTACCTCTAAATCCTCATAGCTGGAAAAGTATTCAGTTGGTGGGTCGTCAGTCTCCATTTTAGAAAAATATTAATTTAAATATAGTGCACACTTTAAATAGTTAATTTAGGTGAAATTATTTTTTCACACACCCACATGACATTATCAAACAATAACATTTAATTTTTCACAGTTGGTAGCATTGAAAGGGAACCATTATTCCACAGATTAAATTCCCCTTTCATGATATTAAATCACAGTTCCCTAATTAAACANGGCACGCTTTGACGATCAACTTGCTGTATCTACTCTAATCCATATCTGTGATCTACTCTAATCCATATCTGTGTCTGTCTGTGGTAATAATTTGACGTTGACGCTTGTTTTACAAAGGCGCTTTTCACTTTTGATTTGGTGCTTTTGTGCGATTTAGCATTTTTGTAAAGTGAATTTAGACTTGCTTTGATTATGAATAATATCTAAAGAATCGCAGTTCAGTTAAAGAATTTGCGAAAATGGCGAAAGAGAGTGATATGTCTTTATTCAACGATGTTTTGGAGCCGTTTAGAAGAGTTATAAATACCGACCCGCCGAAAGACAAGCTGTCGGCGTCTTCTAAATTAAATTTTTCTGATAGTAACCAATCTATAAAAGAAGGTAATTACAGCTTTGATTTGTTGCAATAACGCTCTATTGTTGATAGAAGGCTAAAATTATTTGTATGTTTGTAGGACTTTCTAACCTATTATCAATGGGAAAAAGGAAATCCAGTATTGGTCCCGAAATGTCTACTCCTGACAAACGAATGCGGACTGATTCTTCTTCTAATGTTGCTTCTGCGCCGCCATCTCCTTGGGAGGCTAAAAGGATGAAGATAGACCTTATTGCTGCAAAGGCTCAGGTATTTCTTTAGTCCTAGTCATTGACAAATACAAACTATGTCTTAGCCCAGGGATGGCGAACCTTTATGTATCAACGTGCCACTTTTCCGAAAAAATGTTTGATGTAGTCATAGACGTGCCATCAAATAACACGTAATGCTATCAATGAGGGGTATAGCACAAGTCACGCACTGGCGAGTGACAGGACCTTACTTTACAGTGACACTAACTGATAAGGGAAAATACGGTAGCCTTTATTCAAAACACATTATGTACAATTTTATTTTATAGTGGATTTTGTGACTGGCGGGCCCTAAATATTCAGGAGCGTGCCATCGATGGCACGCGTGCCATTGGTTCGCCATCCCTGTCTTAGCCTGTTGAAACTATAACTAAAACTGATTTTAGATTTTAATATTTACATTAGAAACATAGACACTTATTGTTATTAACATAGATTTGTTTACTAACATTGTTTTTAGATCACAAAATTGGAAGCCCGTGTGAACCACCAGCATACAATTCGCAAAGAGATGCAGATTCTATTTGAAGAGGAGAAGGCTTCCCTCATGGACCAGCATAAGAGAGATGAGAGGGCTATATCGGATATGGAGGAGCGCTTACAAGTTGTGCGTAGGAGGGAACAGGAGTTGAAAGATGAGTTAAGTCAGGTAGGAATGTTGTTAATTAAATATGAGGTAATTTAGAAAAACTTAAATAATAAAAAAAGCAGGTCAGATATGAAAGAGACAAATAATTTGTTCAGTAGAAGTTTGTTAGTAAGATAATAACTAGATAATATTGATAGATAATGATGTTCACAAACATACTTGACAGCATTTTATGCATGTGTTGTAACAAATCATAAAATACATAATATAAAAGTCAACTTTTACAACTTCATAAGACATATTGATTGTGTATGATTTCTTATTTTACTGTATGTAAAGATGTAATAATTTTAGGCTATGCAAGAGCACAAAGAATATAAAGCAAATTGGGACAAAGAGAAAACTGAACTTCATAAGCATATAGGGGAACTAAAGGACAAACTATTGGAGGCTAATGTGAGCAATAAGGATCAGATATCAGAAATGAAGAAAGATATGGATGAACTACTGCAGGTTTGTAACTTTTTGAAATGTTAAAGTGAAAAATCAAGTATTGAGTTGAATTTGAACTAGTATCTATCTAATTGTAACATTGGTATTTTGATTTACATCTTTTTCAATTTCACACCTCTTTTATTGTTGTTGTAATTCTTTCATCAATAATGTAAACACACAAGTGTTATTTCCTGAGAGTTGCCTGATGCCTGCATAACTATTAATAATAAGCACTATACAAAAATATTATCAGTTATTAGTTAAATTTACATAAAGAAACAGATAAATTCCATTCCAAAATTCTTTCAATTAGACAATATTAATTTGAAAAACTCCATTACCATTGTAGGCTTTAGAAGGAGCTCAATGTGAGGTAGAAATGCTGAAAAAGGAGGTGGCAAGGCAGACCAGCCGTGCCGAGCAGTGCGTCAGCCTGAAGACTCAACTGGAGAAGCAGACATTTGAATTGCAGCAAGTCACCAACAAACTGAAGGAACTGGAGTATGAGAGAGATTCATACAAGGATTGGCAGCAGCAAGCTAAGGTATAGTTGGTAGTTATTAGTGATAGAAATAGTAAATAAGCCAGTAAGGATCTGAATCAAGCAGTCAAGTTGGATTCCTGTGCAAAAAGTTTTGTATTTATGGAAATTTTTAGTTTTTTATCACCATATTATAGTCAGAATCTCTTTTCATATCCACTAAGAATAATCACTTTCTCATGTTCTCAGACTGCTCAAAAGAGACTGACAAACATGGCGGAGCTAGAAAAAGAAGTCGTCCGGCTGAAGGCCACAGAGCGCTCCCTGCGCGACGCCGTCTGCAACAAGCTACTCCTGGAGGAGCAGGTGCACCAGCTCGGCTGCCGCGTGGACGCCATGCAGCCGCACCAGCAGCAGCTGCACGAGGCTAAGGTACTGAGAGCGACGAGTGCGAGGCTGCAGGGACTGAGGCTCCCTGCGCGACATTATGTATTACTAGCTTTCTGTCTATCTAATTTTGTCTGTCACAGAAAAATTCATCGGGCGCGTCCCTGTTTCAAAAACCAGGATAAAAACTATCCTATGTGCTTTCCCGGGACTCGAAATATCTCTATGCCAAATTTCATCAAAATTGGTTAAGTGGTTTAGGTGTGAAAGCAAGACAGACAAGCAGACAGAGTCTCCCCCACTAGTGTCTTTCAAATGTCGACTTATCGCCAGCTCGCACCGGCCAATGGTCGAAGAAACCTAATTCGATTCGGGGTAGACGCAATCACGCGTCACTTGTCCGAAAAAAGCGTTGGGTTGGGGCTGCGCAGATGCGACACCGGCGCGCTGCGAAGCGCCGCATCGAGACGCTGCGCGGGCGCTGCGCTTTTTTATATAATTTACTAGCTGACCCGGCGAACTTTGTTCCGCCTTAATGACAATAAATAACGGGATAAAAAGTATCCTATGTCCTTCTCCTGGCTCTAAACTATCTCTCTGACAATTTTCAGCTAAATCGGTTCAGCCGTTCTTGAGTTATAAGTGGAGTAACTAACACGACTTTCTTTTATATAATAGATTGTGATTTAAACAGGGAGAGAATGTTTGTGCTCACCATGAGCAGGGTTACCCATCCTGGTATTTTTTTTTATTATTAAGAGCTATTTTAACCATTTATTGGTTCCAGGTCAAAATCGCCGCTCTGGAGTCGGCGCTGGAAGAGTGGAAGTCATCAGCGCGCGCGCACGGCGTGGACAGCGCTCGCGGGCTCTCGGCGGCGCTGGACGCGGCGCTCAGCAGCCAGCTCACCGCCACCGCCGGCTGCTCGCAGGCGCAGACGCAGCTGGCTCAGCTCACCGAGGTAGGTGGAGTGAGACAGATGTGAGGAGAGTCACTAGAGGGAGTGTAGTCTGTCATCGCTGGCGGCGGCGCTAGACGCGGCGCTCAGCAGCCAGCTCACCGCCACCGCCGGATGCTCGCAGGCGCAGACGCAGCTGGCTCAGCTCACCGAGGTAGGTGGAATGAGACACAGATGTGAGGAGAGTCACTAGAGGGAGTGTAGTCTGTCATCGCTGGCGGCGGCGCTAGACGCGGCGCTCAGCAGCCAGCTCACCGCCACCGCCGGCTGTTCGCAGGCGCAGACGCAGCTGGCTCAGCTCACCGAGGTAGGTGGAGTGAGACACAGATGTGAGGAGTCACTAGAGAGAGTGTAGTCTGTCATCGCTGGCGGCGGCGCTGGACGCGGCGCTCACCGAGGTACAGTAGGCGCGCGACTTCATGTCCATCCTGAAGAATGCGGTAGTGCTGTTACCTAAGTAATTATGCTAATGTCGATATCGATAATAATTATTACCAATTAAGTAGGTCAACCTTATCTACTTATTCCATATTTTTTGCAACTTATAAGTAAGTATAAGTAAATAAGTAAGTAACGCCCCGATGGACATGAACTCGCGCGCCTACTGTAAGTGCTGTGTACTGTGAGAAGCGTAGTAAAGAGAGGGAGGAGTGAGAGGAGATTAGTAGGCAGCATGGCGTGTAGCTTGACGGCTTTCAGCAGCCAGCTCACCGCCACCGCTGGCTGCTCGCAGGCGCAGACGCAGCTGGCTCAGCTCGCCGAGGTAAGTAATGCGTAGGGTATGATAAAAAAGAATAGAATAGAATAGAATTTCTTTATTGCGGTAAATGTGGTACAAAATAGTGATAAACAATGAATGTCCGTTTTACACATCTAACCAACGACAATTGGCATGCAACATACAGTGGAACAGAAAGCACACAATTATGTCCAAATAAAGTCTCCTTGCTTCATAACTGAGTGAGATAGACATGCGGGAAGAGATTACTAGGTTGCAGTGTGTATCTCGCAGTCACACACAGCTCAGCAGCCAGCTCACCGCCACCGCCGGCTGCTCGCAGGCGCAGGCGCAGCTGGCTCAGCTCACCGAGGTAGATATTGTGTGCTGTGACTGCTGTGAGAAGTGCAGTAAAGAGAAGGAGGAGTGAGGGGAGATTACTAGGCGGCGTGCCGTGTAGCTCGCATCTATGGCTTTCGGCAGCCAGTTTATCGTATACAACGGGCTGTTCGCAGGCGCGGACGCAGCTCACTGAGGTACATTTTGCGTGGGGTATGAGAATAATGGTTAGCAAGGTCACCCAAAGAGCGATGGAGCGTGCTATGCTTGGAGTTTCCCTGCGTGATCGAATCAGAAATGAGAAGATCCGTAGGAAAACCAGAGTTACTGACATAGCCCGCAGAATCTCTAAAATCAAGTGCATAGCTCGGAGAGCTGATGGCCGCTGGGGCAGGAAAGTTCTTGAGTGGCGACCACGAGCCGGAAGACGTAGCGTGGGCAGGCCTCCCACAAGGTGGACCGACGATCTGGTGAAGATCGCGGGAGGTGCCTGGATGCGAGCGGCGCAGGACCGGTCTTTGTGGAAATCCTTGGGGGAGGCCTTTGTCCAGCTGTGGACGTCTTTCGGCTGAAACGAACGAACGGTTAGGAGTACGAGGGAGAAGTAAGGAGAGATTACCAGGCGGTATAGTGTGTAGATAGCATTCACAGCTCACCATCATTACCGCCGGTTACACGCAGGCGCAGCTGCTGTGTAGACAGGATCGAGGAGGCATGGAAAGAGATTATTAGATGGTGTAGTGTGTAGCCCGCATTTGCAGCATACCAATGGCCCTAAAAATCAGCTCACGGTAAAATATTATTAAGTGGAAATCATGAGCGTCACTAAACACCCAGCTCACGGCTACTGCTAAATACTTGCGCATCGCGCATTGATGTCGCATCACTGCGCAATCGCATCTCAACAGCTCCGCCTCTGTGGTCTAGTGGTAAGACCACCTGCTTCAGATGCAGAGGTCCCGGGTTCGATTCCCAGTGGGGGCAGATTTTTCTGTTCGGTTTGGTTGGTGGTAGGGCTTGTTCTAAGTCCGCCTGGCTAGCTACCACCATCTTACCAAAGTATATAACATATACCATATTTTTTTTTTTTTTTTTTTTTTTTTTTAGCAGCTCTGTCCCCTGTTATATATACAAGGATTTGATTTCAAGGGGTTTTTATTTATCCTTTTTTCTTAATCTATTTTTGCTTTTGCCTTCTGGCTGACTATTAAAAACCAACTTTATTTCTTTATTAAAAAATACTCAAAAACTTAATACTATTACATTTTGCTTACAGACTAATACATTTTTCCTTATTCTATTTTGCTTAATACTACGTACAAGTTTTTCTTACTTTTTTCTACTTTTCTTATTCTAGAAACATTTTCTTATTTACTATCTTATGTCTATTACATTTTTTATTTATCTTTTTGTTTGCTATTGTTCTATTTCTTGCTAGTCGTATATAAATTCAATTTATAACTTTAGCAAGTGCTTAATTACTATTCCTCTTATTTACTACTCTACATATCCTAATGCAATAGTCTACGAAAATTTCTCTACTGTTTTTATTTAATAATAGGGCCGGTAGATTATCTTGGTTTATTACCATGTCTAGTTTTGTTTCAGTGTCATACCTATCGCGGGCGTGGACGGGACACTCTGTAAGCAAGTGAAGGACTGTTTCTTCACAGTCCGGATTGCAGATACACGATGGGTTATCCCTGCACTTGAATCGGTTCAAGTACTGGGCGAACCCACCGTGTCCTGTTAAGATCTGGGTGAGCATCCCTGTCGGTCCTATCTTGCGCGCAAACTTGTACGCCGTGTATGCATCAGGGAGAAAAGACTTGGTGGTTGACGCGGTGTCACCCTGTGTGTACCTATCGTTCCATTTATCCAGGGTGTCTTCTCGAATTAGTCTCTTAACGTAAGAGATCGGACACCGGTCGTAGTCTGGCTTCCGTTTGGATGCCAGTGCTGCCTCCTTTGCCAGCTCATCGGCGCGCTCGTTGCCAGGAAGACCTGCATGGGCTTTCACCCAGAACAAAGACACAGCTTTGCCCTGGGTGGAGGCCGTCCGCAGATTCTTCCTCGTCTCCACAGCAAGAGGGTGAAGTGAGTCATGGTTTGTGATCGTCTCCAGCGCTGCCCTCGAATCACTGTATAGACCATAACTCGCTTCCGCCCCTTTTAGGATTTGGCCCGACGCCTTCCATATGGCCAAGAGTTCCGCCTGATAGACCGTGCAGTACGCGGATAAGCTGAGTTTGGAGTTCCGGATCTCGGCCTCATTATTCCACCAGGATAATGCGGCTCCGACCTTCCCTTCAATCTTGCTCCCGTCGGTGAAGATTCGCACCGCCTGCACGTTGTGTTGGTCCACAAGGTGTTGATCTACCAGACTCACGAACTCGAGGCTCATATGTTCAGCGGGATGTGGAGCTTCTGCAAACCCTACCACACTCTCGGTCTCTCTGTCTCCCAGAACCGGCGGGGGCGACCCTCTCCTCGCAAAGTACAGGGCAGCTGCCTCCTGTATTCGCAGGTCGAGAGGAAGNNTTAGGTTAGGTTAGGTTAGGTTAGGTTAGGTTAGGTTAGGTTAGGTTAGGTTAGGTTAGGTTAGGTTAGGTTAGGTTAGGTTAGGTTAGGTTAGGTTAGGTTAGGTTAGGTTAGGTTAGGTTAGGTTAGGTTAGGTTTGGTTAGGTTTTTTTTTTTTTTTTTTTTTTTTTTTTTTTTTTTTTTTTTTTTTTTTTTTTTTTTTTTTTTTTTTTTTTTTTTTTTTTTTTTTTTTTTTTTTTTTTTTTTTTATAGCAGCTCTGTCCCCTGATATTCGTCAAGGATTTTACTTCAAGGGGATTTTTTATTTATTCTTTATATATTTCTTGCATGCAATTGCTTAGGCCTTCTGGCTGAATAATAAAAGTCTGCTTTTTACTTTATTCAAAATTAACAAAACTTAATACTATTACATTTTTCTTACTTTCTTATCTTATTACATTTTTCTTATTTCTAGTTTTACATTTTCTTAATACTACGTACAGTTTTATGATTATTTTCTATTTTCTTAATCTAATACATTTCCTTATTTACTACTTTCCTTATTTTTATTACATTTTTACTTAAGATATTTTCTACCTTAATTACTAATTCTTGCTAATAGTCTATAAATTCAATTTATAGCTTTAGCAAGTACTTACTTACTATTTCTATTATTTACTATTTTACATACGTTCATGCAATATTTTACAAATGTTTCCCTACTGTTTTTGTTTAACATTAATGCTGGTAGATTTTCTAATTTTATGTCCATTTCTAATTTGGCTTCAGTGTCAAATCTTTCGCGGTTATGGACAGGACACTCTGTTAGTATATGGAGGATAGTTTCCTCACATTCCGGGTCGCAGACACACGATGGGTTATCCCTGCACTTGAACCGGTGCAAGTACTGGGCGAACCCACCGTGTCCTGTTAATATCTGGGTGAGCATCCCCGTCGGTCCTACCTTACGCGCGAACCTGTACGCCTGGAACGCATCAGGCAGAAAAGTTCTTGTTACGGCCGCTGTGTCCCCTTGGATGTACCTATCGTTCCATTCCTTTAGCGATTCATGTCTGATTGTTTTCTTAGCAAAGGAAATGGGGCATTTATCGTAATCCGGCTTTCTTTTCAAACCTAAAGCTGCTTCCTTCGCTAGCTCATCGGCGCGTTCATTGCCTGGAAGTCCTGCATGGGCTTTCACCCAGAACAAAGACACAGCTTTGCCTTGGGTGAAGGCCGTCCGCAGGTTCTTCCTCGTCTCCACAGCAAGGGGGTGAAGCGAGTCATGGTTTGTGACCGTTTCCAGCGCTGCCCTCGAGTCACTGTATAGACCATAGCTCACTTCTGCCCCTTTTAGGATTTCGCTCGTCGCCTTCCATATGGCCAGGAGTTCTGCCTGGTATACCGTGCAGTATGCAGACAGACCAAGCTTGAGGTTCCGGATCTCAGCCTCATTATTCCACCAGGATAATGCGGCTCCGACC